GTGTGTGTGTGTGTGTGTGTGTGTGTGTGTGTGTGTGTGTGACACAGAGGAGACTCCTCCTTCCCATCTTCTCTCTCCCGACACCTGCTCTCAGACACTGCAGAGCCTGGACCACATAGTGCTCGGACGGGACAGGGAGGCTGCAGAACCGGGAGCGGCGGTGGATGGAGCGGAGCAGCAGCCGCAGCAGGAGTTGGCCGCACCGACCGAAGCATGCCCCAGCGCAGCCATGACTGGCTCGGCGTCAGACAGCGAGAAGATCGTCATCAACTGCGGCGGGACACGGCACGAGACGTACAGGAGCACCCTGAAGACCCTGCCGGGGACCCGCCTGTCCTGGCTGACCGAACCGGACGCTTTCAGCAACTTCGACTACGACCCGAAGTCTGACGAGTTCTTCTTCGACCGTCACCCGGCCACCTTCGCCTTCATCCTCAACTACTACCGGACCGGGAAGCTCCACTGTCCCAGCGACGTCTGCGGTCCGCTGTTCGAGGAGGAGCTCGCCTTCTGGGGCATCGATGAGACGGACGTGGAGGCGTGCTGCTGGATGAACTACAGGCAGCACCGGGACGCGGAGGAAGCCCTGGACAGCTTCGAGACTCCGGAGCCAGATGCGCCTGAAGATGACCCGGCGCTCACCGGCGGGGCGGACGGAGACCTGAAGCGGCTCTGCATGCAGGAGGACGGCCGCAGGGCGACGTGGTGGGAGGTGTGGCAGCCCCGGATGTGGGCTCTGTTCGAGGACCCCTACTCTTCCAAATACGCCCGGGTGAGTGTCCGGACAGCCGCAGTCCGTCCCTCAGGCACTTTTCTGTTCCCCTCTGAAAGGGCTTCAACCAGTTCAAATAATCAAAGCTTTATCAAATCTCTTCATCTGTCTGTGAGGTTGCACAGGACTGTTACTGTTATTTACTGGTTTACATATAGAAATATCAACATTTATTGGGGGAAATATTAAGAAAACAGTTTTTTATACAAAGTATAGGTGCGTTCTTGTGAGAGATGTCCACATGTTGGCGCACASCTAAACCAGAACAAAGATCTTGCAGTGCAGAAGCTCCTCATCTGATCTCTGATTAACTCTTTTCAGACACCAAGACCGAGAGTGCAGCTCTGAACTAATGGTTTTAGGTAAATTTACATTTAAAAAATGATCCCACAGAGAACAGATCACTTTTCGTCTCGCTCAAATTCTCCTTCCTCACATTTATTTCCAGTGTTAGGGTAGGTCTTGTTCTCCTGTGTGTAAARCTGTCCTACAGCTTGTCTTCAATGTCAGTCATTTAAAATCAATCCATTTTTAGTTGTGAGGAATTTGGAAATAAAGAAGTTAATGTTAAATAACCAATATTCTTGAGCATCCATTCACATCCTTGGGTTGCAGCTATAAGATAGTAAGAACACTATAGATTAGTGTTTCCCAAAGTTGGGGTCGGGACCCAAAGTGGGGTCCCGAAACATCAAGGTGGGGTCCTGAAAAGATTTTATGAATTTATTACATTTTTGCCTTAGTTGTTACAAAGGAGTGAGGTTAGTGTATTTAAAATGGAKAAATGTAGTATAAAAATATTGTTACTATGTCCATGTTTTGTTGACCTGATACAAATGTTTATCATCCAAACGTAGTTGGGTACAGGTCTCTGCTACTGTTATTTTGTGGGTCAAAAGCTGAAAAGTTTGGGAACCACTGCACTTTGGTTCCCAAAGTTGGGCTTGGGACCCAATTATGGGTCATGAAGCACCTTGGATAATCTACAGAAATCAATTTAAAGGATAATAAAACAATTACTGATGTAATATTTTCCCTATAATTATTACAAAAACACAAAATAAGTATTTATATTTGTGTACAAGCTATTTATATTGTCAAAAAGCCTGTGTTTTTAGAGTTATTAATGAAGCTCGTGTACTCAGACCAGTAATATTTGGGGTCACAAGTTTTGCCATGGATAGTTTGTGGGTCAGAAGATAAAAAGTTTGGGAACCACTGYTATAGATGATCATGGTTGTTGGGTAGAGCATCTACTAACTACGGAAATGAAAGTATGGTAGTGCTGGTCTGTAAATTATAGGACTGTGTATTACCAAGAATTTGGTGATATGTTACATATTATGATACAGGGGTCGTCATATAAAAATTGCAATATATTGCGACACTGCAAGCAAGGCAGTATTTTGCCTATTTCTTTTTTTACTCTAAAAGATTCTAACTTTTAAAAACTCAGTATAAAGAGTATGCCATGCATTACATGCATAAAATCTGATTCAATTCAGTTTATTTGAGTGCAATCAGAAGAACACTGAGCTACAGTGAGAACTGCATTTGTATTTCACATTTCCTCTTGCAACATCCAYCCATTAAGCCTTRATTAAAAATCRATACTTTGCTTCTGAGAATTAATRCAGGATATTAAATATTGCGATATTTCAGTGTATCAAGATTTTTTTCATCCCTAGTAAGTTTTTGTCTTAAAAGTCCTTTTGTGTCACAGCTACTACAGAATCATTATAAAGCTGTAGGGGCCGTTTCCTGGAGGGCCACCATCCTGCATGTTTTAGTTGTTACCCTGCTACAGCACACCTGATTCAGTTGTTAAATTACCTCTTCAGCAGTTCTGCAGAAGCTCATTAATTATAAAAAGATTAATGTTAAG